GTTGTATAAAATAATATTTCCTTCAGATCATTTTCATTACAATAAGGGCAGAGGATGTCACACCTTATTAAAATCCCAATGAGACAAATTGTGATTTGTGAATATGGGCTATACAAATAAAATGTGATGATTGATTGAGTATCAGATCCTCCGGAGAACACAGCAGGAGATCCTCCTCAGGTCATGTCTGGATGAGTAGAATGAGTTCCACTGAAAGTAGTCGGAGAAAGAACTATTCCTGCCTGTTTTGTTTATCATTATTTTCTTTTTCAATATATGCAGCTGCTATTCCTACGTTGGCCGCCGCGGTTACGCCCAGACATTGTCTCTCGACCGTCAGGGCTGCCTCTACCACAGCACCGTCCAGCGCGAGCTGCTCCACGCCCTCGGCTTTCACCACGAGCAGTGTCGCTCCGACAGAGACCAGTACATCCGAATCCTGTGGGAGAACATCCAGCCCGGTCAGCACTCACTGCACAACCACACACCCAACAGTAACGTTTAGGGATGCAACTAATTATCATTGTAATTGCCAATTATTCTGACAATTATTTTATCAATGAATAAAACCATCTTATTTTAGTGTCAGAAAACAATACAAATTATCATTTCCCAGATGACAATAGGGTGACTAACTTTTTCAATTGAATAACAGTCCAAGTCTGATCGGAGGAGCTGGACTAAGTTGTTATTATGAAAATGAGTAAAATGATCAATCAGTTATCAAATAATTGACAGGAACCGGACCTGATCAAAGACACAGTTGTTTGTTTTTTCCTGACTGTGATTTTCGATCTCTCAGGTTTGGAGTACGCCTTTGACAAGATCGACACTCTGAACATGGACACCCCATACGACTACAGCTCTGTCATGCAGTACGAGAGGTTCGAGGACGCCGCCATTTGTCGAATCATTGATTGACTGTGCTGTGATTTGTTTGGAAGGAATTTTGATAAATGACCAAGCTTTGGCCTCATTTATATACAAATATTAATTAAGTAAAGACTACATTGCAGTTGTGACTAATTTCTGCTGTCTGTTTTATACAAACCAGACATTAACCAAACTGTGCATTGATTCCAGGTTTGCCTTCTCTGCAAACAATAAGGCCACCATGGTGCCCATCCCCAACACCAATGTTGAGCTTGGCATGTCCAGCCAGATGAGCAGCAATGACATCCTGAGACTGAACAGGCTGTACAAGTGTGCAAGTTTTAGACCGTAAGTAACAGTGTGTGTGTGTGTGTGTGTGTGTGTGTACAATATTGTCAATTTTATTCCTGATTAATTTGTATCTTTTTTTTCTCGATATTAATAAACTTCTATAGTATTTATATGTATTTTTTTTTCTTCTGTTGTATATGTGCACTCACTATGCATGTAATGTCATGTTATACTGGATTACCCTGTCGATCAGGTTTTTTTATTTCAAAAAATTGCTTTAAAATGTGTAATAATAGAAATAATAGAAAGGCAACACATTGGACTTACACATTACACATTAAACTATGTTTGCTTTCTTTTGCTTCCTTTAACATGTTTCTGTTTTTCCTACCAGGTGATGAAAACAGCCTTGACAAGATGAAGCCGACTCGGACATGAAATCAGTCAGATCCTTTCCCACGCTTTTATACAATTTGGGACGTTACATCAACAATAAACCTTCATATACATGTTCACTGCATCCTTATTGTTGTCTCTGTACTACTAGATACTTGTTAAAGGGTCACCCTTTACTTCAATTGTTTTCTTGTGTTCTCATCCAAGTGTCTGTAAGTCCCGACATTCAAATTCAACTCAAAACAGCATCTTTTACATTGTGTTTTTTTTTTTGTCTGAATGTCCGCTGTGATCCACATGTGAACACGGCTCCAGGGGAGGATAACAGAGGACTGATTTTAGTTCGGTATTTGACTCATATTTATAGGTTTTAACTGAGATGAACCAGGGATAAGATTGTGCCAGACTCTGCTGTTCAGGCTATCGACTGTCTGTATGTAGTGACCCCGTGCTCTTCATCACCAAAATGAGTCACACACTAAAACAAGATTCATATTTAAATGTAGAAAGAAACAAAACCACTACTGTAAGATTTGATCAGAGCCATGGATCCTGTATTTATTTTCAGAAAGACATACATAGACAGATGCTATTATTTGAAGAGAATTATATTTATTTACAAATTTACATATTTACTTTATAGTCTTGGGGGGTTGGAGAGTTTGTTTTGGGCTAAACTGGCTATTGCTAGGCCTGAATAATAGAAATCCCAGGAAAACCAAACAACAGTGTCATGAAAGTGCTGCAAGTGGTTAACTAGATTATTTTGGTTAAAACTAACCAGTTGTAGGTAGAAATCTACATGTCATCCTAATCTACATGTATACTCATCCACCCAGTACCCACCCATTATTTTCTCACATTGGTGAAATTCAATGAAAAACCTCGACATATAAGTGACACATAGATTGACAGATGGGAAAAGACGGACAATAACATAACAATTATAATTGTGAATATATACAGTGAACGTTTGAGTTTCTGTGCTTTTGCACCAAATGAGTTGAGTTAAGAGGGTAAATGTGACTTATCATGTGAGCCTGTGAGTGTGCACGTGTGGGAGTGCACGCACAATGCAGAAGGATGCTGTGGAAGACGATGTTCCCACTGAGGGTCTCCCAACAACAGCCAGAGACAAACCATCCTGGTTTCAACATTCTATTGTTGAGAACGGCAAACCTAAATTTAAACGAAATGTCAATTTCTCCTTGTGGTAGTGGGGGGTGGTTAGTGTCGGTGGCAGGAGGGAGAGAGTGGGCAGGTGGCTCAGGGATTGGTGCCAGGGAGAGAGTCTGATTGTGTACAGGTGTACTGCGTTGGCTAATGACACTCTCCCCCCTTTTATCAGCAGTAGAGTGCTGGGACACAAAACTCCACACACACACACGAGGAGAAGCTGGAGGCAACCTGGAGAAGCCCAGCTAAAGAACACTGAGATATGCATGTGTAGATGTGTGTGCACAGCAATAAAAGAAGTTAACCGACTACTGACTTGCATTATCTGTGACGAGGAACCCGCAGTAGCACGAGCCTGCTGCACTAAAAAAATAAGATATTGTATCTGTTTGACTTTAGCTTCAGTGATGAGAGCTTAAACTGCCACAACTAAGAAGTTACATACACACAGTTGTTTTGCTTTCTGCTCCAGTGGGAATATGCATTTTAAAGATCAATACTCTGAATCAGAGAATCTCCCTCGACTACAACTCTGTGCAGCAGGTGCAAGTCATTTTCTGACACTTGCTTTACATTTTTCTTCCACATGATAAAACAGACACACAAAACCTTTTTTGTAGGTCTGAATCTGATCATACATTCCTGCACATGATGTTACCCATCAGCCTTATTGTAAGTATAATGGGTTTGATCAAGTTATTTTGCAAATAGGCTAAATGATGACAAATTGCCCTCACAATGCAAAATCTCCTGACTTTGACGGCTTTAAACTGAAATTAGTTGTAAGCTTGGTCTGCACGGCATTCTGGCATCTTAAAAATACTTTTTTTTTGGCTTGAAGTGGCATAAAACTGTTGATATAAAGCAGCAGCTTGACAAAACAGAATGTTTATCATCTCACAACTCAGACTGGGCTGACCTTTTTATTTCTAACTAACTCAGGATGTAGTATTGAGATTTGATATTAATGTATAATGAAATCTGGATGGATTAATAATTCTTCATACTGTGAGACCAGTCTTGGTGTGCAGAGGGAGATCAGGTCATTTTGGTTGTTTTTATCATTGAGCTGATAATCCCTTCACCCCAGTTGTGATATCAAATCTTTCTATGTCTTAAACCTGTGACTGTAATTACAAGAAAACATCACGGACCATTACACCTGCCTTAAGTAATGCATTTCAACCTGACTTTAAAAATGAGGCAAACATGATCTACTGAAGTTTACACATACATTCAAATGAGAGGGCAATAAAACAAATTTGTTTTAGATGAATATTTATTAGTTAGAGTGATAAAAGTGAATTGAATATGTGATTCCCACCACTTAAGAGCAAACAGGAAAATCGTTCATTGACATGAATCATTGACTTTCTTGTTTTGAAGGAAGAGTAAAGAGAGTAAAGTGAGATGGATGCTTCAAGTCATCTATCCCTGGATTGCCTTCAGTGACTTCAGTGTGGCTACTTCCTGCAGTACAGCAGGTTGATGCGGTTGATGTCATTCTGGCTCATCTGCTTGGCCAGGCCAAACACAGCGTTGGGGTTGGGAATAGCCACCATAGTGGGATTCCTGTTATCTTTGGAGAAAGCCAGTCTGGAAGAAGGAATGACACGACAGGGGGTTAGTGATCATTTTGAATTGAACTTGTTCTCAAGTTGTAAACTCATAGACAATACTTTATGTTCTATATATTTCTTGATGTCAAAAAATCCCAGATTGAAGAGATGAAACAATTCTAACAAGTATTGTCCATGTATCACAGGTGCCTGTGGGTAACCTGTAAAAAGAGTACATGGGTGAAGGTAAAAATAAAATGAATGTGGGCTGGCAATGGGGTGAGGGCTGAAGTAGTACATTTAAATGATTTTGCAGTATTTTTATCAGCTTCATCTTATGTGAAGCCAAGTCAGCCACAAAGATTAATTGGATTATTTTGACCACTTCACTCCTGCTCAGAAGACCTGTCACTGAAGCCAGAACATCCAAATGGATCATATAAAGACAGGGATAGCAGTGGTGAATACTTTCTCAGTGACTCTCCTGTTTTGTAAAAGTGCCACAGCGTATAAGCTTCTGAAAGCTACATGCATGTCGTCGCTGAGGAAACACACTGACAGCTGCAGGAGCACCGACGCTGCGGCAATGCCCAGATACTTTTCACAACTCAGCCTCCACAACACAAGAACAAGGAGGCCATAACCCATTTGAGGTGAGAGATTGTGGATGTGTTATGTGTGTCATGGGTCAGGTCTCAGGTCATTAACAGGTCAGGTTCATCATCATGAACACACACATTAGTTTATTTGAAAACTAAAAATATGTACACACTGTAAAAGTAAGAAATTAAAACCGTAGCGCCTCTTTCACTTAGTGGAAGGTATTTATATGAATCTGTCAGTTTGTGTATAACTGGACACATTAAACAGTTCTTTACGTGGAAGGAACATGAGCCTTCCTTTTTCCACCTGAGTGAAGGTAAGGGGGCGATAAGAGGCTGTAGAGCCAGAAAAAATCATGCTCACATTAAATTCCAAAACTCAACATACTGTAATTATAGTTATGGTGTCAGTTCACTTCCCTACTAGCATTGCTGAAACTAAGCATCAAGCAGCCAAACTGCCATTTAACATGAATTTTTTGTACTGACCTGCCGTAGTGCATGACGGAGCCATAGTCATACGGAGTCCCTTGGTTCAGAGTGTTGAGCTTCTTAAAGTTGTAATCCTGACCTGCAATAGTGGAAGAAGTATTCAGATGCTTTATAAAGATTCCAGTGGTGGATCCAGAGGCCTCCTACACAGAGGGGCTAATTATATGTCCGCCATACATGCCTAATTCCTGATTGAGTAAAGTGCACATTTAAGTCATTCCTTATTTTCTGTTAACTCTATCACTTTGAACAAAACCAAAATCACTGAACATATTTTGAAAAAGTATAGGTAGTAAGTGACTGTTCTATTTAAAATTAAATACTTCAAGGACTGGGCAATACAGGAACCAAAGGATTTCAGCAGAGTTTTTATGACAGTTTTTGTATGTAACTGACCACAGCTGCGAATAGTGTTAACAGCATTTGTCAGTGGATAAATATGTTTATTGTGGTCATACATAAAATGTGAATGTATTGAATAAAGAATTGAATTATGGCATGGAATGATTGAAACAGCACATGATGACTGTCTTTGTCGTGGTTAATTTACTTTCATAATCAAGTCGTAAAGAAACTAAATAATGGAATGGACTTATTTATGTTGCACACATCTGTTGTTTGTGATAAAAAAGCAAATATGTAAAATGAGAGTTAAAAAACAGAGGAACAGGACACATCTGGTTTTAGAGGTCGATCTGATGAGGGATTCTAACACGACCATGAACAGAGACATGTTTTCTGTTCACATTCATCGCTGCAACCTACCCTTGATGACATTCTGCAGAAGGACCCTGATGTGCTGGTCCCTGTCAGAGCGACACTGCTCGTGGTTGAAGCCCAGTGCGTGGAGCAGCTCGTGCTGGACCGTTCCATGATAGATGCAGCCCCGTCGGCTCAGAGACACTGTTTGGCCATTTCCCTGGCGACCCACAAAGGAGTAGCATCTGCAGGGATGTTGGCACAACATACTGCATTAGATTGAGAATTGTTTGTCCAGTGTCCTTGAGCAAGTCCTTTACCACTCTTTTTTCTGTCAGTGATGCATCGTGGGGGTAAAAGGCTGTGTTACGTACCCATCCAGGGACTGGATGTTTAGGTAGTCCCTCTGGTTGGTGCGGGGGAAGAAGCGAATGCAGGTGGAGTAGGAGAAGGAGTTGAGGCCCCTTCGGATGATGTCCAGCTCCTGATATGCTGCAGGTGGAAACACAAAGAGGAATACCACACTTTGAGTAAAATACATGAATATCAATAATAAATTGGTTAAAAAAGTAACACATATTTAAATATACATAAAGCTGGGGTTCAACCAATGACTAACACACAAAATCCTATTAGGTGATATAAACCAACAGGTTTCAAGCACAGTCAATGGGGGGGGGGGGGGGGGGTGTATTAAGGCACTTACAGTAATGATTAGCGATGACATAGGGGACGTAAACGTTGCCATCAGTGGCTTTGGGCCACATGCATCCACGCAGCACGCAGGGGTCAGCGTTCCTCAGGGTGGGCAGACGGGACACGGCGATGTCCCCGTTAATCTGGATACCGTCACGGTCATGGTCTGCAGAACATAAACAGCAGTGACATCAAAGCCAATCAAACATTACACAACAGTGTATGATGCCTTCGGGAACACAACTGTGTTGAATGATCATTGAAGAAAATGAATTCATAATGATCCCGGTCTGATAAATTAATAGACATTTTGCCATTTCACAAAGAATAAAATCAATAAGATCCTGGTATTGTGCAGGATCACTGTTACACTAACAGCCTACCAGGACACTTGAGCACACTGTTCACTTGAGAACAGAACAACATCATTTATGTTGTGAGAAATGTCTGAATGTCTAATATGAATAAAGACTTGACAGTGATGGTTTAATACGCAGCAGCATTATCACCAGTGATGTTTAATGTTTTTACAGTTTGGGTTAGGTATGATTCATGATGCATTCACGGTGCCTTACTGAGATTCTCATTGGCTTTCTCCAGCTGCTCTGTGACAGTCGGGTCTCCTGCAGCGTCATTGTCACCGTCACCGTCACCATTTGCATTCTTCACCACCTGCACACAAGTGACAGAGAGATTTTAGATGGCTGAAGGTTGTTTAATCACTTGTAATGAACAATTGTGTTTTCATTATTTTAGACCTCTTTATAGCTACATCAGTTTTTTTCTTCCGATCAAAGGTGTCAGTAGACCTGCCGCTACCATGTCTCTGATTGAGTTAGGTTTAGGGCAAAGGGGTGATGATTGGCTGGAGTTAGTGTGAGAGTGTCAGGGGAAACCAATAACAAGCAGGGTCTTTTCCCACCTCAGGGGGAATAAAAGCCCTCCATGTTGGAACACTATGTTTCTACTTTAGCCCAGAATGGAAAAACCAAACAAGAGGTCATCTTATAATTATAATAATCTTCTGAAAAACATTCTTAATTGCAAATAAACCAGGAAGGATGACCACAAAGTTATTTAACCTCACTCTGAACCATAGTCTGTTTATTAAAAGCTCTGCACACAACGTCCAGCACACAAACATTAAAAAGGGACAATATATATTGTAAAACTGTTTGAGGAGGACTCACTAATGACACGCAATAATTCTGAAGTAGCTCCAGAGAATCAACACAGGACCAGAGAACAGCCCATTCAGAACAAGCAGGTTCAGATACAGGCGATTCTCGTTCTGGTTAAATCACCCTTATTGTGTAGCTGGAGAGAGCACTCACCCTCGCCTCGGTCCAGGCTGAGACTGCAAGCAGGGCCAGGAGACCCAGGATGCACTTCATCGCTGCCATGTTACCAAACAACCTTCAGGCTGAAAGACACCACCAGTCAGACCACAACACATGGCGGCATGAGAAACACGCATACTGTATCATTCACTTACCTTTACCCTTTGACTTCAGATAGAAAAGTAGATGATGTGGTGATTTGTGAAGGCGCTGATCATCCTCTTTTATAGGAAAACCTACAGAGGTCCGCCCTCAGCAGAGCATACACAGGACATTAACTCCCTAATCCTGCAAATAGCTGCGATATTTACTTTGTTAAACCTTGATAAAAGTGAAGCTGATATGTCACATCTTTCTAGCTGACACCGAAATCCACCCACAGCAAATGTATGGCCTTCCTAATCCAGGAAAACAAAGAAAAGTATTTAATGCTGATATTGCTCTTGAATAAACATCCTTATTGCTTTGACCTCATGTGTTCATGGTATTGGGGGCACAGGAGTGTCATACAGGTGCTGTGGAAGTGTGTTCGAGGTCACAGAGGTTGACATGCAGTCACTGTAATTACTGCCAAATCAATCTCTCAGGTTTAAAGTGTCTCTTCTGTGTATTTTCTCTAATGAACCTCATATATGAACAATGGTGGCCTTGTGCAGAGTTGAGGACCAGGTCAACAATTATTTACTTAACACAACTACTACTGCTGCTGCTGCGACTGCTACTAATACTATTACTACATGTGTTACTACCTGGAATGTTTCCAGGGACTCCGGGGGCCCCAGGCAAAAGGAAATTGGGGACATTGATATCGATATTAAACCAAACTGAACCAAAAAACATATGATACCAAACACATCAGTGACTTATATGCGCACTAGTATCCCGGTTATGAGCCTTAGCCCGTTTTTTATCATATTTGGGATATGGTGTTTTCATGGAACATTGAGAAATCGGGTTATTCTCATCCCCATATATATGATAAGTACAAGTAATCTGGTTACTTATAAATGTATGATTTATATAGGCTTGTGTGATGTCTATCATGGTTACAACAACACAGCCTGCCAGCAATTTTGATTCCTGTCGAAAATGAGACCACTTTGGATTTGGTGGATCTGCCTAATCCACCTTATTGCCAGCAATGGGAGAAGATAGCAAGAGAAAATATTTGACCTGTCCCTCAGAGCGGAAACTGGGGTAAAATGTATACATGCACTAGTATCGTAGTTACTAATGGAGAACTCCAACTATAAAATTTGGTTTCTCAAAACCAGGATAAGGGCCTACCCAGGATACTAAAATCAGGACATGACGTTTAGATGCTTGAACACAAAAACAGGATCCTTCAAACCTGACAATAACAGGGATACTAGTGCGCATGTAAACAGCCATTCAACACTTCTATATAAAAATTATAAAGATAACAAACATATATACATATAAACATATACACATGCATAATAAAACAGTAAGTTAAGTGCAAACCCTCACTCCGATCCCAGACAAACAGAAAGTTTGTAGCATGGGGGATTTGCTTCACCTTTTGCAACAGGAAATACTGATACTTTAAAGCAGGATATTAGTATCCTCAGAGGGATAAGGCTCTGATTAGTATATATCTCCACCAAGGCCCATTGTCTCCTCATGAAACCATGTTTAATGTCCCCATGTCCAGATATTTATTTGGATCTGTACCAAAAAGTCATTTTGTCAGTCCCATAAACATGTTGAATTTTTTTTCATGAAGATCCATAAATTATTCTCTATGAAATCATTGTTAAAGAAAGGGGGGGGGGATCTTGGACAGAACTCAACTGCCAGGTTTTCCACTAGAACCAAAACACGTGATCACATCACTTGAGTTGCAGTCTCTTGACACTTATGTTTTAGAAATGATTTCAAGATTTGAATGTTCACTTTAAAGGCTTTTCAAGGTCTCTCCCATTCCATCTTATAAAATATATTTAACCTTTTAGTGCTCAATGCACCAGGTTCAATGAGACAATTCAGGGACAAATAGACTGATCATAATCCATTATTTTTGTCCGAAGGTTATGGTTTGTATTTATATAGTGCTTCTCTATTCTTGATGACCACTTTCTTTTTGTTCTTTGGGGCAATTTGGGGTTCAGCGTCTTGCCCAAGGACACCTTGGCATGCAGATTGGAAGACTGGGGATTGAACTGCCAACCTTCTAGTTGGAGGACGACCGCTCTATCCCTCAGCCACAGCCGTTATAGATTTCTTATTTTTGTTCTTGTGCTTGAGGATGAACACAACACTCTGTCCTTTGTCAGTGAACATCCAAAACATTGTTCCAGACAGGAACATCTCAACAAGTAGTACAATGAAATTAACATGAACCTTTATCATATTCATGGTCCACAGAGGATCAATTCTGACCTTTTGGTTACTTGGTTGCTTGCTCATTGTGAGAACTGTTGGGTTTCTCTATAACTTAAGGTCTTGACCTTATTATGTTATGATTTGGCTCTTAAATTGGATTGAACACATTACCTTTTATCACAGTCCATTCTTCATTATGCCATGGACTTTTGTGTAATTTGTTTTAGATAAGTGCTATAAAAATAGAGTTATTATCATTATTATTACTCGAAAAAGGCATGCATTCAAAAATTATTGAACGTGTTATTATTGAACATTTTAACAAAACATTTTATTTATGTCGAGAAAAAATGAAAGAACCTGAGAACTTGACTTGAAGACGTGTCACAATGTCTCCACTGATGTTCTGAGCTGTAATAAAAGCACACACGTCAATTCACTTCTCACTGAAACTGCAGTTTGTCAATTGCTTGACCACATCTTCACCTGTTGTTGCCCTGTATTCAAATAAATTCCACCCAGACTAAATCCTGTGTAAATGTCAAAACATGATATATGAACATTTTACATCCTTGTGGTTTAAACATCTAGGCACACTGCCAGCATCATATATCATCAACCATTACAACAGGCCTTATATTTGATCATCTATGTTTGCTTTACTTTACATTCAATTATTTCGTTTTAATTAATCCTGAGCTGGACAATGATCATTTTCCTTTCTGACCAAAGAATTTGTGTGAGGTCCTAACACAGAGAATGTACTGTGATAGAGCTGGGATTATTTTTCTCATGTTTTGTGATAATCTAAATAATTAATATATTTCATGGGGGAGTACAACTTGAAACTAAGCATGATGATTCTTTTTAAAATGTCAACATCTTCACATGCCTCGTAACTGAAATGATGTGTAAATAAACGGAAAGGTCCAGTGTGAAAGTTTTAGGTGATAGGGATCTATCGGCAGTAATTTATTATAAAATAATCCTAGTGATGTTTTCACTAATGTGTTTCATCTAAAATGTATAATTGTTGTTTTCTTTACCCTAGAATGGGCCTTTTGGATTTAAATACTTTATATTTACATCAGGAGCAGGACCTCTCTACGGAGGCCGCCATGTTTTTTACAGTCGTCCAGACTGAACAAACTAAACACCTTTTGAGTTTTTATGACAATTAAAGGCTACCACAGGTTCTTTTTCATGTTTGGAAGGAGAGGGTGAGGTGAGGGGTGTTCAGCTGCAACATGCAACTTCACCACTAGATGTCACTAAATTCTACACACTGAACCTTTAAGGACAGAGCACCATGTAACAGTGGAGTGTCATTTTGGTGAGGGCTGACTGCGCTGGAGTCAGAGAGAGGGGGAGTCGGGGGTGGGATGTCACACAATTTGTTTCCTTAAATGTCACATGGGGAGCTCCATACTAATGAGCCTTTCTTAATAATATATCAAGTGTCTGCAGATTTGCTACTGATGACTAATGTTTTTCCGTTCCAAAATTTTGTGGAGTGCTGGGATGTGAACTAAGGAAGAATGAATTCATTTTTGTTCCGGATCACAGGGAGAATCTTCATTTAATTAAATATTTTCATGGTGATATAGGGTGTTTTGAACATTTTCCTGGATTTCTCTGAGAATCATACCTGTCACCTTTGCACCATGTACCCTGCACTACACTACGTGTGTTAATTTAAACCACTTTAATATTACAGACCATTTTATAGAATAATATTGTCTTTTGCACATCCAGTCCACGTATTCTTACACTGCCAGTATATTGTATAGTCAAGTACTTATATWTATACCCTACTATKTATTYTWTATCATATCATATTATATCATATCATACTCTGTATATTCTCTGTATATTCTTCGGATTTACAAGTCTATATACACATATTTATACATGTGTACATGTTATTATTATATTATTATTATTATCACTACTACTACTACTACTATTATTATTATTATATATACTATTGCTGCCATTATTACTATATACTGCTATTATATTGGTATAATTACTGTCTATATAAATAAATGTTATGTTATATTGTATACTATATATATATAAATATATACTGTACTACTATTCTTATATACTGTCTAACAATAACATTACCATCATATCATCATTACTATTATCATCATATTGCCACTGCACTACTTGTCTGCCTATTCATCTTGTGTTTCTGTTTTTGTTCTTTTTACCTCAATGTTTTGTTTTGTTCTATTGCATTGTGTTTTGTTGTGTTCCGATACACAAGCTGCTATGACGACGTAATTTCCCTCCGGGGATGAATAAAGTACTTTATCTATCTATCTATTTCATTTAAAGCCATTTCACTTATTGTCCAGTAGATGGCGTCACACCCTCACGATTCATTCATTACAATGAAGCCAGTTTGACAGTGAAACATACATTTTATTGTTTTTATTTCTCAGTGAGAAATCCTTTGCAACAGAGAGAGTCCTTAAGATGATTCAGATACACACCTAATTCCTCAAACATAAAAATAACGGGGGGGGGGGACTACAGTGTATTTTATACACATTTAACTGGTTGTTTGTGGAGGAGCTGCCATCATTCTGGCTCCTCATCAAAGGTCACCATCCAACAGGAACAAAGTTTATTTTTATCCTGTGTATTAGATCAGATAGAAGATTGTATGCGTGGCTTCCAGGAGTGAATGTGTGCGAGTGTATCGGTATATTCATCTCAACAAAGTTACCCTGGTTAAATAGAGTAAATGATTTTTTTTTTATAACAGAGCATACCACCTTGATAATGAAAACATGGTTTGGACTAGACTTAACTA